TGGTTTTTCAGCTTTTCATTCAGATCGTAGTTTCAGGGCCACTTTTGTTTTTGTTTTTAAATTAACGAATATTTTTCTATTTCGTCATTCAATTTCAATGTACAATCGAAGAACCTGCAAACCGAGGGATTTGCGAAGCAGGGCCCGAAGAACTTGTTTTGATTTAAATTAACGAATATTTTTTTATTTCGTCATTCAATTTCAATGTACAATCGAAGAACCTGCAAACCGAGGGATTTGCGAAGCAGGGCCCGAAGAACTTGTGCTTGCCCTGGTTGGATGCACACCAGGTGCGAACCCTGTTTTTCCTACCTAGAGCACAACCAACCCTAAAAAACGCTAAGGTAAGAAAAATTAGTTTTCTTGCTATCAATTATTCGGATCCTTTCTTCAAACTAATAATTTTATGAACGATTATTTGATTTTAGTTACCATTTTCAATATATTGGCTTTTTAAACTATATTTTTGAAAACTCATTTTCTAATTTACCCGCTCTTCGTCAGTCTCGTTTGGACGAGACCATCAATTTTTAAAGATAGGAATAGAATGAATAAAAAGACTTTAGTCACGTGACCATACGTTTTTTAAGATAGGATAAATTCAACAATTTTTATAGGTTCAAATAGCACGTGTATGCGGTTGGTTAATATTTTGTTTTCAAATAACATACACATTTATACTTTTGTTTTTTTTTCATGCAATTAATGTATTGAGTGCATGGATTACATTTCACTATACTATTACAATCTTGTTTTACAGATTCTATAAGCTAATAACTAATAATCGTTTCAAAGATGATAAGAGTGTCATCAATGATACTGAGGTTTTAACGACCTACAAAAATCATTTCTTAATTATGACTACAAAACAATGCAATTATGTCTTTAATTTTTTTTTACCTTTAAAAAGTTAATGAAATTCATGTCATACACTGTGCCTGCTGTCATTTTGCAAGGTTTCATACAACGCAGAGCCATGTACATTTCAGTAGCCGTTGGCATTTGATCGAGCTCTCGTACCATTCATTCATATATCTGATGAAATGGATAATGTAAACCGTATAATATTTGTATTTTTTGGTTAATAATTTACTTATACGTCTTGCAAAAGCTTTTCACTGTGGTCCAGAAGCTTTTGTCCCGGCCAACTTAAATAAAATAAATGAATGTACAAACCAATAGATATAATAATCACACGGTATTTTGATACCAGATCATTAGTTATGATAATCTGAAACCATACATTAAAAAAATATATATTCTAAAGTAAAGTATCAAGAATAAATGGTATAATAAATCAATAAAATACCGCAACCGATGTAATACTGCAGCCCAGCAGATTCAGGCCTAGTATTAGTAAAAAAGCAAAAGTGTACGATGATTCAAGAGTGTTTGCAAAACTGAAATAAAAAATTTAACTGGCTTCCGTTCAATGTGGGTTAATAATCCTATATTTCTTTCAGATTTCGCATTTAAACAATAGTATAATCAAATTATTTTTATTATTGCATCAATAGTATATGACGCCACTGGGGCGGAAAGTGCTACTTCCCGCCCACAGGCGCACTTTCCGCTCACNCGTCCAGATTAATTTTTAAATTGCTTTGGGGGGGGGGGGAGCTCTAGAAATTTAGAAATTTACGAGCCAGTTAGCCACCAGCCGAGAGAGAAGCGGGGGGAAGAGCAGAGAGAAAAGTCAAGGCCGATGTGTGTGTATGCGCGAGCCGGTGGTCTTTGGCCGGGCGCGCGTATGACGTATACATCCATTCACTTTTCGGATCAAAAGACTTTTCTCCTCCGTCTTCCCGAGCTGTCTCCCAAGCCTCTCGATTCGCTCTTCGGGAAAATCCGCCTCCTTTTGGAAAAGAAAAACCAGTACAGGGCTTGACGGCTGGATTGATAGTGGCGGTGCAGTGGATGGTGATGCCGCGCTAGCGACTCTTCGTCGTAAAGATTAAAACGTCGTTATACGTGCGCTCGCGCTGTTAACTGGGTATGGTGCTACCGCTTGTAGATGAGCCCGTTAACTGTTTAGGGGCTTCAATGTGTCAATTAAATCGCGATTTTTTCTCTTTTTTTTAGTTACACGAATGGCATTTTGTTGGATCTGGTACTTTGTAATACTTTTTTTTTTAATAACGGGTGATGATAATCGTGTAACATAGAGACAAGATCATAAGGGACAAGATCAGCGCGTGCTTTTTTAAATCGTAGCTCTGTTTCCTAAAAAATAGTTTTTTTTATTCTCTAACTGCGAGTAAAACGATAGAGGGTGGAGTTTTCATTGTGTAAAAGATTTTTGGGGATAAAGCCCATTTTATTCGAGTGTGCTCTGTTGATAAGTTTTCGGGTGGTCATCTAGTTGAGAAAAAATAAACGAATGTTACATTTTTGTGAATCTTAGTTCTTTCGGATTTTTGCAATTTAATTGATTTGCATCAGATACGTTTTTCAGGACTATTTCCAGTTTTCTGCTTTTGAAAAGAACATGCCTGTAAAATCAGTACTAGGGCTTAATAGTTATTTACGTAACAAGTGCGGAAAAGACGATTTCCCGCACAAGAAGTGATTGACTCACACGAGTGCCGGAGTTGACGGGAAACGAGTACCAGTTGATCGCAAGGTTCGAGTTACCGTCACCGGCCAGGAGTGCGAGTCTATCACACGAGTGCGGAAAATCGTCCCGCACGAGTTGCGTATAAGTTTTTTCGCAATGTGTGAGGAAAATAGGTACAAAATAGGTTTGAATTTTGATAGGTTTAAATTTTGATTGGAAATACCTTTGTCGCACACTTTTTCCACACACTGTGCGACAAAAACCTTTGCCACACACCTTTTCCGCACACTGTGCGGAAAAACCTTTGCCGCATACCTTTGTCGCACACTGTGTGGGAAAATCGATTTTCCACACTAATACCAGTGCGGAAAACACCCATTTTCCGCACACTATTGCGAAAAAAAAAATTGACCTTCACCCCAAACAAAGGCTCAGCGCTGCATCAGTTTACTATGAGATTTGCACGTCTGTCTATGAGCAATTTATTGCTTTCTCACACTTGCATATACTCTGGCCTTTCGGATGCAGAAAGATCGAGATTCGAACGCCCAGAGATGGCCTCTAGAACGTGCGAGCTCACGCATCTGTACCACATGAAACACAGAGATGACTCTTTATAATAAAGTAAAACATGAATGTGACAAATCGTGAAATAATCGTGAAACGCAGTCGTGGGTGAAAATAAATAAATAATTCATTATTCCCCAGTACTCGAGTACTTAGAATTCCCGATGTAGACAGTTGTAATGAATATACTTATCCTCGAAATTGATTTATGCCCGATGACACAGTTGGCGCGTCTTTTTTTCTTTCCTCGCGACAAATTTGCTCTTTTCTATAGGAAACAAAGCTCGTCTTTGACCTCGTAAAAAAAAAAAAAAGAAAAAAAAAAAACATCCAACATCAAAAATCGGTGACGTTAACCAACTGCGGCTCGAAAGTGCCGTTGTTTCGTGGTAACAAAAATGCGAAATGTGGGTACAGCGCAACAAGTAAACTCGCTAGAGAAATAAAGCCACCGATGCTCTCTCTTTCGCGTCAACTCCCATTTACGTCGCGTCATCGTAAAAACGTTTTATCGCGCACCACATTGTTCACGCGGGCGTATCGAGATTTGCGCGAGTTAACTAAAAAAAAAAAAAAAAAAATCTCGAGTGTACGTACAAAAAGTGATCGAGTAATGATCGAAAATGTACAAACATCGCGTCGTACACGTACATGTATGGACGAGAGCAGACTGGAATAATTGATTTACGAGCACCTCGCCATGGAGGCACTTTGGCGCTGTCTCGCTCGTGATCATCGCGCGTAAACTGTATACGTATACATGTAGGTGCAGCTTTTACTTCCTCGCGCGCGTACACGTATTATAATACACGTGCATCGAGGTCAAGGGGCGTGGGCCGGAAAGCTCGATGCGCTATATACGTGTGCACGCGGTTGGCGCTCTTTCGCTCCATCAGACAGTAATTTGCCTATACGCTTGTACTTTTCCTCGAAGCACATAAGTGGTGTTTTTATTGTTTTTTTTTTAAGATTCCGAGTGACTCTGTACGTACATTGAGAAGTACGAAAGGTCGTTTTTTTTTTTTTTTTCTTTAAAAAAATAGAAATAAAGGGGTGAGGCTTGATTCCCCCTTCCAATTTTGGGTTTGCATGCGAGACTACACTCGCTCGTGGTAAGAGTAAATATTTGTCCTCGACAACTAGGCACACCTATCGCTCCCATCGCGAATGTTATATTTTTATCTTGAATAAGATACACATGCACGTAGACAAACGCCACGTAATAAAACAAAACGCCGTGCCTAAGCGCGCGTCGCGGTCTAATAATCACGCGCGGGGGCACGGGCTTGTATTCATTCATCGCACGCTCGCACGGACGATTCAATATATAGCCGCGTGATCAACTGCGTTTCGCATCTATGGAGAGAACACTTTGTAGCTCTGGGCTACGGCGCGCAGGGAAAAACTCTACGTATTTGCGTCACACAAAAAAAAAAAAAAAAACACCGCAGTTGTGTATATTGTGCGCATGGAAGGCAAACAAAAATAATTCGCTACTCGGTTTCTATTTTCTCACCCTCGAGGCCAACTGCCGATACGTGTACTTTGTGTGTACAGCGCGCAAATAACCCCACGAACTATTAGAGCACACGTAATCTCTCTCGGGCAGAACGACTCTGTACATTATCGATTAGCTTCATCATGCACGAGCCGCAAATAGTTTCCACGCGACATATTGAGCGGAAAAACGAGCGGCTTGCATCGCGCTGTATATACATATAATATGTAGGTTTTTATCCGACCACCGTACAAATGGCGGGGCGGTTGAGTTAAAAATCGGGCAAACCACTTTACTTTGCGTACGCAGCTGTGATTGCGAAATGTAAAACAAAGTTCCTTCATTTCCCTCTCCCCCCTTTTTTTTTTGTTTCAGGCAAAAGCACTGGGAAGGGTGCTGTTCGATCAAGTGTGCAAACAGCTGCATCTCTTGGAGGCGGACTATTTCGGTCTCGAGTACCAAGAGCCCAACGGGACGAAGGTAAGGGTACCTGCTGCTGCCGCTGAAATTTTCAATGCTTGTTGAGCTGTGTTGGCTCGACTTATGAGAGCCGATGTGCCGACGGCCCCTTTATCAATTCATGCAAAAAGGTCAAACGCGCGCGCGCTTATCAACTCCCCCTTTTATTACCCCTCAGCGTGCAGCGCTCATCGAGTATATCAAGCGAAAAAAACATTTCCTCCTATCCACGGTTTATTTCCATCCCTTAATATTTGGAGGGGTTGGTAAAATCACAAAGAGGCTCGTTTTTAACGAGTAAAATCTTTCCCCTTGTATATGTATACACACCGTCAGCACCGTCGTTTTCATGATCTCTCTCTTTCGCGCGCAATGAGACGTGCCCTTTTCATTTTGCATTCCTGTGTGTTGCAGTACTGGCTGGATCTGGAGAAACCAGTTTGCAGGCAAGTGGGGCTGTCGCTGGTCGACCCGCTCCTCAGGTTCTGCGTCAAGTTCTACACGCCCGATCCGGCCCAACTCGAGGAGGAGTTCACCCGTTACCTGTTCTGCCTGCAAATCAAGCGCGACCTGGCCCAGGGCCTCCTGCAGTGCAACGACAACACCGCCGCTCTCATGGCCAGTTACATAGTCCAAGGTCGGTTGTCTTGTACCGTATACGCCCCCCACACACCTCTTTTTTAAGAGCTTTTTCCTCCGAATGAATACCGTGCCGGGGGTCGGATGAATCGTGCAGGTATATAACGAAGAAAGGAATAAAGAAGCGGATAATGGAAGTTTTACAACTCGATCATGACATCACCGTGACGATGTTCAATCGCGTAATGAAGTGACGTCATTTACGCAATGGCGTAACGATCGATTCTGGACAATGTTCGCGGACTGAAATTGCTTTGTCCGAGCAGCCTTATTGTTATTTTTTTTTTTTTACCCCCCGACAAGTTGGAGGAAAAAAAACAAGCAACGCTCAATTTTTTCCTCGTTAAAACGTGATAAAATGAAAAATCTCGAGGCGTTTATTGGTCCTCTTTTATGCCCGAGTTGGAATAACAAGGAACGACGATAATAACACACGAGCCACCGAGCCACATGAAAACCACAAATGAGAATAAACGGGGGGAGGGGGGAGGGAAACTCATGAAAGTTAAGTGGCCAAGTGTAACAAAATCATCGCGCGCGCGCTAGACCAAAAAAAAAAAACGGAGAAAAAACGAGTAGGGAAGCAAAGAAATTTTAAAAGCGTCTCGAACGGTACATTGAACCGTTTGGCGTGTAACATGTACACTTAGGCGCGGTCCGGACTACCGTATATATATATACGCCTCTGTTAGTCGTACGGTGTGGATGTATATAGGGCGGGCGCGGATATATCTTGATTGCTTCAATCCCGGGGGCACAATTGGCTCATTGTCGCTATTGCGCGGGAAAAAGAGCGCGAGGGGGAAGACGCATTGGGTTTCATAACTCGGCGCAATATTGCGCGCTATACAACATATTTATTATACGCTCTGTCGTCTACGATGCGTGAATTATAAATTGACTGGTGCCATCTCGTGTCGGGAAAAACATCCGCGGGGGGGGAGGGGTTGTCTAGATATTCGATGTAGAAAAAAAAAAAAAAAAAAAAAGAGAAACTGATTTGAATACTTGATGTACACTTTGCGACTCTGTTTACCATACAATTTATTTGGCCAATGGATGATCATCCAAATATTCAAAGACCCAATTAAATATTCTTGCGAAACAGCCGAGTGCGGGGATTACGTGACGGAGGACTACCCGGACCACACGTACTTGTCGACGTACAAGTTCGTGCCGCACCAGGACCAAGAGCTCGAGCGCAGGATCATGGAGAACCACAAAAAACACGCGTAAGTCCCTGGCAACACATCATACCCACATATACTATGCATGATGTCTTCTTTGTCGTAAGTACCTCGGTTCAGTCTATAGAAGAGGAGACGAACGCGTCTGCCACCGCATTATCATGATAACATTAATAATATTTCTTGCTCCAAAGTGGTGGTATGTACTTGCACATATGCGTACGTATAACTAGTAGTATAGCGGGTTCCGGCTCGTTATGTAAAAGGCGCGTCGGGAATGCTGCAGCGGCAACAACTGTCTTGCGTGCGTGTGTGTGTGTGTGTACACGTACATAGAGGCATACACCGAATGCTGCTCCGTGTCTCTATATATATTATACTCTGTGCAATTGACTTGAAAACGTCGCGTTGCGTATATTTTGATACCATGGCTGCGGGTAAGTCGATGTGGAGTCCGGGACGATTCCCTTTTAATTTGGAGGGGAGGGAGGTATATTTTTAAAACGTTCTTTGTCAAAGGCTGGGGCAGTTGGAGCTTTGTGTGATTTTCGAGTCCGCTGTTCCATTATTCATAAACAATGTGGCACTTGCGTGATTCGCTTTAATCGAGAGCTCGACGTTGCAATTACCGCGGTCCGATACGCCTTTGTTGGTTAATTAGATCGGTATACTGTATGAGCGTTTATTATTCGGTTTTATGTCTCGCGACGAGTCTTTTGTCGATTGAATTAATTTTATGGTGTGCGCGTCTGTTTGGACAGGGGACAGTCGCCCGCCGAAGCGGATCTGAATCTTCTCGAAACTGCGCGGCGCTGCGAACTCTACGGCATGAAAATGCATCCCGCAAAGGTATTGGATGGTTTTCAAGATGTACGAATGAAAAAAAAAAAAATAATAATAAATCTGAAAATATTCCACACAGGATCACGAAGGAGTGCCGTTGAACTTGTCCGTGGCGCACATGGGGATCATAGTCTTTCAGAACTACTCGAAAATCAACACGTTTAGTTGGGCGAAGATACGAAAAATCAGTTTCAAGAGGAAAAAGTTTTTGATCAAGCTCCACCCGGAAGGCTATGTAAGATTTTTTTTTTTTCAATCCTTCGAAATCACTCCTTCATAATGCAAGAAAATTGTACTAATCATGAGTGTCATATGGATAAGTGGTTGAGACATGTATTAATTATTTGTGCCAATGATTTGTTGTAGGGTTTCTACAAGGATACGGTCGAGTTTTTTTTCGAAGGGCGCAACGAGTGCAAAAACTTTTGGAAAAAATGCGTGGAGAATCATGGGTTCTTCCGTTGCTCCACGGTCAAGCGGGTGACCCGACAAAAAACTCGAGTTCTCAGCCGAGGATCTTCATTTAGGTACTTGTACTTTCGATTCGTGAATAAAATTTAAGCATGAAATTAATATTTATTGGAGCTTTTTGAAAAAAAACTTAACTTTGATTGTTTATTTGGTAAAAATTTCCTTCTCACCTTACAGGTACAGCGGCAAGACGCAAAAGCAGATAGTAGAGTTTGTGCGTGACAACTACGTCAAGAGGACGCAAGAGTTTCAGAGGTAAGTCGATAAAATATGCCCTCACGATCAATCGCCCGAAAGTACCACTAATTGTATATGTTTCTTGATTACGTTCATTTTGTGACTTTTCAAACGGGTTTCTTGACACCTAAGTGATTTGTCGTCCATCATAAAAGTATCTATACATATGTGTATATTGACAAAGTAGCTAGTGCATGACAAAGCATTGCAATTGAGTTTGTGACCCCCCTTCCTCCCCCCCTCGCTCTGTCGAATAATAAAATTCCACGTAAAATGTAATTCTTAAAACAAAAGATTCGATGAGACAATCGATCGATCATTAAAATAACAACAATCTCACGAAAACAGTAGCATCGAGATGGTTCGTTCAAGACCCGAAGCACAAAGCAGTTTCCATCTCGATTGACACCACTGCCCTTTTCTTCGCCTACGACACCAAAGTTGCACCTCTAGAACACTTATACCTTTGAAACTCGACGTCACCTCTGTCTCTCTTTTTTCACCTTTGGAGTGTTGTGTACTTTTATGTTTTGGTCACTTTGAATGCACACAAAAGACGTCGAGTTTCGATTTTTTGATCCGATGCGAAGTAAAATACTGACCTGTTGCTCCGGAGGGAAAATCGCACATAGTCCGCCGATGTTACAATTGACGTAGATACTTTTTTTTTTTTTTTTTCACGTACTTTAAAGGAATCTGTTGACCATCACAGTCATTATCGGTTCAGTATTTTTCTTCGCATGGTTGACCACTATAACAGGAAAGACACGAAAATAAAGGCAAAAAGTTTTGTGAGCGTGTATCAATATGCACCGTATACGATAGTTAAACACTATATATTTCTGTATCATCGTGCTTTTCAATAGTAACAAAAAATACAACATCAGTGTTGCCTGCTCGGGGCAGGGGGTGGCGGGGGAGTCAGGCTCACCATCAGGGCACGATTTTTCAAAACCCGAATGATCATCAATGTGTATACCCTCCGTCAATATTACTATTATATTACTTTTGTTTTCATTGTCAAATTTTTTTTTTCTTTTCCATATTTTACTACACATTTACAATTATGTATATTGCCGAACTACCTCATTTATAAATATTATACATATATTTTTCACTTTGATATATTTTGATGTAACCTTTCGATCACTATCACTATCAATGTTATACTAACGTATTCGTTGAAACGATAATCGACGACACGTCCACGTTACTCTCTTGTTATCATATCCATCTGTCCATCACAAAAGAAGTATGTGTATATTAGTTCCCTTCAAACAAACCCGAAAACACATGTGTACATAAACGTGTATACTGGAAAAAAAAAAATCGTTTTGAAATTTTTGTCGTACGTTTCGATTTAGCAGTAGTTCGAGTATCTTTAGATTCGAATTTTTCACCTCTTTCTCTCACACTAATCATCTTTTTTACTCTCATCTGCATTAATAATTTGTACACTACTAATTATACTTTTTCAATTTTTAGACTTTTTTTTCTTCAACTTACACTGGCCCGTCTGCTAATCACTTTGCTCACTAATCTACTTTGTTACCCTTGATGTCGCGATAAAACGAATACGAATTAAAACTCATTTTTAACACATTCTTTGATTTGCAAGAGATAAAAAATAAGAAGATGAGAGAAAAAAAAAAAGGATCATGGATAGCGTTAGGTCTGATGCTGAACTTGACTCTCTCTTGCTCGCAGGTCCAATTCGTTCCGGCAGACTAGCAGTGGTAGGGCATTACAGGGCTCGGAGGGGGGAGGCTATCGTGGGGCCACGTCAAGCAGCTCCCTTTTGGGCAGCTCCAGCATCTCTGCCCACCCCCTCCTGCCCCTCGGCGATCCTGGTATGTACCACCGAGCGACACCAACCACTGATTTACACTAAAAATGGACAAAAAAAAAAACAACTACAGACAAATCAAATAATAATATTAAAAAAAAAAAAAGCTAAACAACATTAAAATGCTTCAAGTCCATTGATCATTTTGAAAATTTTGTTCCAATCTTTGTTTTGATCATTTCGTCGTTTTGGTATTAACTTATTGATTCGTTTTTGTCATTCGTACATTTGTCACCTTTTTTTTTTTTTTTTTTTTTTTTTTTTTTTTTTTGTTTCATTGCGTTGACTTATCATATGATTTCATTTATTTATTTTTTTAGTAAATTGGTACAAAAAAAAAACGTACTTGTTAATTACATTATTATTATTATGATTACTGTGATTTAATTTACATATGAGTTGAATTCTTGGTAGTGTAGTTTCCGTAGTGTCATGTAGGAACCTATAATATACAGTCAGCTTTATTTCACAAAGAGACACACATAAATATGTACTGTCTTTTGCTTATGTATCATTGTACTACTGAAAGTCTTATCACACTCACGGTTATGAGAGTATTGAATCAGTGACGTTGTTTGCATTGAAATACTTGAACAATCTCTCATAATCAACTGGATCATTTTGTTGATGCAGCGTAGGTATACATGTAAAACACTATAGTGTATAGGTAATGACGCTTACAAGCACGTGTATAAATAAATGAGTTTTATATATATAAAAAAAAAAAAAAAAAAAAAAATTTAATAAACAAGTAAATCTAAAAGTTGTCACGATGTTATGGAAAAAAATTGGCATGAATAATTGTGACATTGTTGTGTTTGCAGCGCTGGAAACGCCGGCTCTGTCTCTGTCATACGGTTCGATGACGCTGGATTCTCCGACGACTGCGACGAGTGCCTCGATGGGCGGGACGAGTCACCGTCGCGAAGACACAGCTACGTCCTATCGGACGCTCACCTCTATAGACGTGCATTCACCGGCCACCCCGTACAGCCAGGGCCAAGCGCCATCGCATGTTACCAGTCAGCCGCAGCATCAGCAAGCCAGGATTTCATCAACAGGTCGTATCAGCCCCTCTAACAGCAGTCCCCCCGAATTCCCGGCGCCGCGACCTCTGCCTAGGTACTCGTGGCAGCGCTCGACCAGCTGCCGCGAGCTCTACGTCACGAGCTTCCACCAAGTCCCGGCGTCGTCGGCAGCAGTGTCGACGACGACGATTAACAATAATAGGAGCACCGCGACGGGTACGGCAAAGGACTCGGGCTCGATTCTCGACGGGTTCCAGCTACCGTCGCAGGGCGAGCTCGACAACCCGGTGACGCGCTGCGACGAGACGCATCGTCCGTACAGCGCGGCGAGCTCTAAGCTTCCCTCGTTGGACCGCAACTCCGTGCCCGACAAGATCTACAGTAGCTCTTACCCGGGCACGTCGTCGCTGTCCACCGAGTCGGGGCACGAGGGGTCGGCCCATGCCGGCGACCTCTCCCACGATGATCTGTCCCACGACTCGTACGAGCTGCTGGAACGCGAGAACGAGTTCGAGTATCCCGAGTCGTACTCGAGTCCGCATGAAGAGAACGAGGCGCTTTCTGACCAGAGCGACGAAGGCATCGAGCCGGAGATGTTCCAAATGGACTCCGAGACCGATTCCTTCGTCAAACAGAAATCGATTCGTTCCGTGGACAAGCAGCTCTTCAAGACCGTGCTTGCCGACATTAGGAGCCTCAAGAGCGACAAGTCGACGGATCGGTACTCGGTCGGGCGCCCCGAGGGCGAGTTCGTTTACACCGAGACGCGAATACAACGCACGGGCACGCAGATAGAGAGAAAAATCGAGACCCACCACGTCGATTCGATCGAGCTGGCTCAGAGCAAGCTCCTCGCCCACCAGGAATCGATCAAGGTCGATCCGATGGTGCTGCAAGTGCAAAAGCAAAAGATGACCGTGCTCAACGAGCTCAAGTCCGTGAGGCCGAAGCACAAAATAACCCACGTTGACTCGGAAGTTTTGCGCGAGCAGGGAATCATGAGACCGAAGACGCGAATAGACGACGATAGTGACGATGTCAGTCCGATCGATGGGAGCAAAACCGCGTACGCGGGTAGGCAGACCAGAGCAAGGAGCATAGCTAGTTTGGAGCACAACCAATCGCCACGGCCATCGGTGGTCGACACGGGTAGTTTGGGCAGAGCGCAGAAGGCTCACGAGAAAAAGGCGCGGGAGGTGGAGATGAAGGTGGATAAGGTATTGTCTAAAATGCAGGAGCAGGAGCGCAAACGCGTGGAGCGCGAGAGCTCGCGGGAAGCTCGGAAAACGGAATCGCGGGAGCGTAGGGGTAGCGAAAGGATCGACACGCGAGAGACGCGACGTAATGCCGAGTTGAGGCGTAGCTTGGAACGGCTCGATGCTCGTGAACGGAGTCTGGAGCGGCTTGATTTTATGCGCGAGAGACGAGCAAGCTGCCGGAATGATTTTCGCGATTATAGGAGAAGCACCGAGCATTTGGATACACGGGAGCTTAGAAAAAGCTTGGAAACTCTCGATAGTCGGAGTTACAAGAGTTATCGTCGAGACTCGCGTGAACGAAGGGAACGAAGTATGGAACGGTTGGACGCGAGACGTAGCCCGGGTCGTAGTCCGTTGTCCGAACACGAACAGAGATATTTTGATAGGAGGCGTTCTGGGTCGAATAGAAGTCCGTTTGACAAACCTAGGAATAGAAGCGCCGATACGATCGATAAGGATAGATCTATTTTTGATTTTGATCCAAAAACAATAGAAAAATTGAGTTCGTTTGAGCGATATGAGGTTAGCAAAAAAGATAAAAAAGACAAGTCTGATAGAAAAAGCCTGCAGAAAGAGTTGCGTAGAAAAAGTCTTGATCACTCTAGTACTAAGGATCGTGTGGGTGCTGATTATTTAGATTACGATCCATACAGTTCAATTGAATATCAAGAAATAAGACAATATAGCAAACAGTTGGAGAAAATGAGGGAAAACAAGCCTAAAGAGCGAGACGACTACAAAAGTTTGGAAAAAGCTAGAAGAAATGAGGATCGCAGAGAGAAAGAACGCCAAGCCAAACTTTCCATTGAATCAAGAACTGACAGCTTAAGTAGTAGCATATCGATAGAGAAAGAAAATTTCAAGCCTAAGACGGTTTTTACGGAATATGATCCAAAAGTGGTAGGAGGAACAGTATTAGGCTTTCCGGATGATCCATCGACTCATGTACCAGTTGAGAGAACAAAAAGCGATCCTAACCCTGCAAGAGAACGACTTGGATCGAATAGTAAGCGGCATATGTTAATGCATCAAAAGTCAATTGATCTTACACCTGCTGATTCGGGCGATGAAGACGCTTTTATGGAAGGCATTCAAGAAAAAAAGTCAAACATAGATATCCCCTACACCTTGCACAAACGTCATGTTATGAATGGAACAGCGTCTTATGAAAAATCCGAGTCTGATGGTACGAAGTTTGGAAAACTTGCGGCAAAAATTATTGCCAAAGATTTATCAGTATTACCATTAAAACCTGTTACTGACGCGTCGTTTACAGATTTGACAAAATTAACGTCACCAGATAAACCATGTACACGTTTTTTACCCACGGATGAACCCCGTATAATTGTTGTTAGTCCTAATAAGCCAAAAGTAGTTTTAAGCCCTTCTGATAAGCCAAAGAGTATTTTAAGTTCTAAATTATCACCAAGCATTTCACCAGATCGTAGCCCTAAAGTAAGCCCGACTAAAGATTCAAAAGTTTCTTCCAAATCGAGTTCTTTGGACAAAATAAAATCAGAGTCTTCCTTAGCTAAAGGAGCCATCGGACCTAAGTCCCTTAGTCTAGATAAAAAGCATACAAAATTATCACCAACTGATCCAAATGTTACTATAGTTTCAGTTCTAGAGAAAAGATTATCAAAACATTTATCTCCGACAGATCCCACTGCAACAATTATTTCAACTTTAGAAAAAAGACGTTCTCCCGATCTTAGCTCTCGAAGCTCTAGTTTTTCTGAAAAATCAAAATTAAATTTTGCAGAAGTAGTTGGAATGGAAATTAAGCAAGAGCTTGACCGGCGTGAAAAAGCAAAACTAATCGTACCGGACGATAGCGTTGAAACAGATATAGAAAATATGCCACTCCCTGATTTACCAGATTCTAATAAAGTAAAACAACAACATACAAAGAAACCACCTGTTTCCGAAAAACCGCAAATTACACGTCCAAAACCAAGTCAGTTTATTGTAACAGATCATTCTCGAGATGATCCGTATGAAAGTGATGGCAAAGTATCTGGTCCTACATCTCCAAAACTACCTCCTTCTCCGAAGAAAACCAAGCCAAAAGGTCTTGAAAAACCAAGCATACCAGAAAAGACCAAACTTATTCTAGATGAAATAGAATCGAGATATACGGAAGCAAATAAAATCGCGGGCGCATCAAGACCAAAAATAATTGATACTGGACATGACGATTTTGTTGAACCTGTAGCGGATTTACCGCTTGATGAGGTGCCAGTTAAACCTACATTAGAATTAGATTGTCTTAAAGTACCAGAGTTTACTCCATTCATGTTTAGACCACATGGAGAACCTATACGATCTAAATCACTGTCATTAGCCGAAGAAAAAGCATCTATAGATACTCTTCTGTCTCCAGAGGCTGAAGTTAAAAGCTTCACTCAAGATGTATCACCTAAGCGAATTAAAAAAATGAAATCAGATCCTATTAAAAAAGATTTTAAAAAGCAGTCAAAGTCACTTGAAGGAGATAAGCCACCTTTCAAAAAAAGTGGATCGAAAGAATCTAAAACATCTCCTTCAAGCTCGCGTATAGATAAATCAAAACTCAAATTAGGTGAAATGCCTCAAGAAATTATTATTATTGATTCTACAGACATAGTACCTGAAGTAAGCATTGTACAAAAAGGAAGGTCAAAATCAGTAAGTAGGCTATCTGACAGATCATTTTCATTGTCAAGAGAAGATGAACTGAGAAAACCTCGAGCAAAATCTGCTTCTGTTGATGATGAATTAATTAAAATTGTTTCATTACAAAACGAAAAGTGTAGACCTAAGTCACTTGGAATATCTAAAAGCTTAGGTAGTGCAGAAAGAAAAGATTCTTTAGACAAAGTATCTCCAAAACGATCCGCAAGTATAAGGACTAGCAAATCTGATTTAACAAAAGTTTCTCCGAAAGTTTCGCCAAAAGTTTCACCTAAAGTTTCACCAAAAGTTTCCCCTAAAGTTTCCCCTAAAGTTTCACCAAAGGTTTCCCCAAAAGTTTCCCCAAAAGTATCGCCTAAAGTATCACCTAAAGTATCACCAAAGACTTCTCCAAAAGTTTCTCCGAAAGAATCTCCAAAAGCATCTCCAAAAAAAGTGACAGAGACTAAGAAATATTTAGATAATATACATAAGCCAGAAGTAAAACAAAAAGACGTTTCACAAACTCTAAAGTTTGAATTGAGGAAGAATATAAAAGATAAAATACTTGATGCCGCTAAGACAACGAATAAACCACCAATGGATGTCAAAAAAGAAGTGGGCTTGAAAAAAGACGTACAAAAATCTCCAGTAGTTCTTCGAAAACCTGGACAAAGTCCTGTATTATTCGCTCGAGCACGTCTCGGGCTCTCAGAAGGAAGTGGAATCGGTGCCTTACAACGACAAGGAGCTACACAGTCGCCGACTTCTCAAAGAAGAGCAAAATCCTTAGATGCAGCTGTTATTTCAGTTCATCGATTGCCTCCAGCAAATGCATTTTCAAGTAAAGATGATACTCTGGATTTAAGTGAAGAAGCAGAAAATAAAGAAAAGCCATTAATCACAGCAATGGAAAAAAGCCCCATGTTAAGACAACAGTCGATTCAAGTTGAAAATTTTCAGAGTTATCAGTTAGACAGTACAGATCATACAAGCATTCCAGAAATTGCTACAGATTCTCATTCAAGCACTGAAGTTTCTGCTCAATACTTAGAATCACCGTTAACAGAAAATAATGATGCAACCCCTTGCTTGGATTCAATTTTGGATGAAAACGAAATT